AAAAAATATATTTTTATTGATTTCAGAGAGGAAGGGAGAGGGAGAGAGAGAGAAACATCAATGATGAAAGAGAATCATTGATTGACTGCCTCCTGCACACCCCACACTGGGGACTGAGCCCGCATCTGGGCATGTGCCCTGACCGGCAATTGAACTGTGACCTCCTGGTTCCTAGGTTGATGCTCAACCACTGAGCCACACCGGGCAAGGGGGTTTGCTCAGGACACAGCCCTGGATACCAAACACACTCAGGGGCCAGCCCTGCCTTTGGTGTTGCAGCGACTGGGGTCGGGCAGAGCTGATGCCTCGAGGCACCTCCAGTCGGCAGTGCCACGTACCTCTGCCGGGAACTCGGATTGCCATGTCTGACCCTCCAGCAGATGAAGCCCCGGGTGCCCCCAGCAGCCACAGGCCAGAGGACACCAGGAGAGCTGGGCCATGCTCAGGGCCAAGTGGGACCTGGGGCCTGGGGAGGACACCTCTGAAGACTGATTACCTTGGTCCCGAGGCTGCGGAGAGGAGCAGACACGGTCCAGGCGGAGGGTTCATGGGCCCGGCCTGCAGGTATTGGCTGAAAGGGCCCAGGGGCTGGCTTCTCACTGTGGGCACCATGGGAGCATCCTTACGGGGCGGGGACAAGACGGGGGACAAGACAGGAGATAGCAGACTGCACAGTGACCCATCTGGGCAGGAGGGGAGAATATATATGAGAGGAGTTTGGGGGTGAAACTGAGGGGAACAAGGACCCCAACTGGCCAAGGAGCAGAGGGGTCACAGTGAGCAGGATGGGGAGGCAGAGGCTGAGGCGGGAGGCGGTCCTGCAGGCTGGGGTGGGCTCTGAGGGAGTCTCCAGGACCTAGCAGCCCAGCGATGGGCGTGGGTGAGATTGTGGGGAGAGGCCCGATGGAGCTCTGGTGACCCCAATGTTATGGTCTTTCACCTGCCAAGCCCCTGACAGAGGAGACCCCTGCCTGGGTGGGGGTGGGGGGGTGAGGAGCTTCCTAGGAGAGCAGAAAGCCACCCCTTGCTTCCATTCTTCCAAATGCAGTGGTGTTGACAGCGAGCTCCCAGCACCCACAATGACACAGTGGGCGTCAGCAGGTCATTGCCCGGCCTGGTCAGCGCACCATCAGAATCAGATGTTTATGAACCACAGGTGAGTACACACACATTCACACCCATGCACACACGTGCACATACATGTATGCACACACACATACTCTTCCTGCGCCAGTGGCAGTGAATGAAAGTGGGACCTGGAGTTGAGGACCCAGGTGGGTGTGGGGCTCCGGAGGGAGAAGATACTGGTCACAGCGGGTGGGGGCACCCCCGGGGAGGATCTTAGGAAAACAGGCTCGCCTGGCAGCCCTCCGCAGACTCCCTCCCAAAAGCCCGCACGAAGGATGTGCAAAACCACTGAACTTTGCAAATTCATGGAAATAAAGCACACCGATCAGGACATAGGTTTTAAATAGTAAAATATATTTACAGACATGATGGACTGAGGACACCAGGAAACACAATCCCATGAAAGTACGACGCCCTCAGGCGGCGATCACAGGTTCTGCTGAGCGAGCGCTCACCCAGCAGCCAGCAGGTAGGAAACTGATCCTAGAAATAGGCGTTTATGCAAATGGTCCATAAATATATGCGCCCATCCCGCCGGGGCCCTGCAGCAGGGACAGGAGGTGACAGCAGGTGAATATAGACCTGGCTCCTTGGGGAGCACACCCGGGACATGGGCCGCCCCTCCCAGGACAAACACAGGAAGTCAGGGCTGTGCAGCCGCCAGCACTCAGCGGGGCAGAGCTAGGTGCTTCCCACCAGCGGTGGCCCCTCCCTGAGGACCCAGAACCAAAGCGGGCACAGCGCCAGCAGCGATGCCCGTCAACCCAGTGCTGTCCACTGTGTTCCCGGGGAGCCGCGAGTGTGTGAGGGCAGGGCCTGGAGCAGAGACGGCGCTTCACCAGGCGGGGCCGCAGGGGGGCTGCCCCCCTCCCCCCCGCGTCCCCAGCATTTCCCATGCCTTACAGTCCTTCTCCTTGCCGCCTCCCAGGCTCAGACATGAGCAGCAGCCCTCCTGCCTCGAGCCCCCCCGAATCTAATGGGAGGTTTTCTAAGAGTCCTCAGACTGGGAGCCATTGTGAGGGGCCAGCCGCTGTGGAGAAGCTAGCCGGTGGTTTTGGGGAGCACTGAGTGCCGGCCCAGGTCCGGTGGGCGGGCAGGCGTCAGACGTGGCTCTGGAGGTCTGAGGGGCTGTCCGAGGCCGAGGACTGGCTGGGCAGAGAAGCGTCCAGGTCCTGGGGAGACCCCGGCAGGCACCTGTGCAGGACGTACGCAGCGGCGAAGAAGAGGAAGCCCAGCACCTGCAGAGAAAGGGTTGCTGGACCAGAGCTGCCCACCCAGGCCCCACGTGTCCCTGCGCCTCTTGGGGTTCTCAGACCCCCCACTCTGGCGAGAAGACCCCCTTCCTGCACAGCCAGTCCCCAGCATGGAGACCAACGCTGTCAGCGAAGGAAGGAAAATGCATTTGACTGAAAGCAGAGGCACTAACTAGATAGGGGGCTGAACAGTGTCCCCCAAAGATATATCTGAGTCATGATCCCCAGAGCGTGTGAACGGGGCCTTTACTTGGAAATAGTGCCCTTGTGAGATGGAATGAAGCACCTTGGGATGAGAGCATACTGGGTGGGTGGCCCCCAGTCCAGTGCGTTGTCCTTTTAAGAGAAAGGAGACAGGGGTTTGTCACAAATATATTGGGGGGGGGCAGAGATGGGGTGACAGATCTACAAGCCAAAGCTTGCTGGCAGACCAGCCTGCTCCCTGGGAAAGGCATCTCCCTAAACCAACCCGGGGCTATCCTCCAGAGCTCCACAGATCCCTGGTCACACGGCCATGTTGACACGAATCTGAAGGCAGATAAACCAGGGCTGGCCAAGACTGTCTGTGTTTGAGGCCCCTCAGGCCCTAGGCCTCCTCTTATTTCGTGTCCTGAGCCTTCCCCTCCGACGGGGCGGGGGTGGGGGGACCCAAAGCACGGGGCCTGGGCTTCACCCGGGCGCACATGCCCAGCGCTGGGGCAGGAAGCTTCTGTCCGTGGCTGGAAGCAGAGGGTCAGGCTGAGAACTAGGACGGGACATTAAAGCCGTGTGGCTCAGGGACCCATCACACCGACCCGGCCTGCACGTACCCAGGTTGCCAGGTTCTATTCCTCCAAAGCCTGAGCTGCCAGAGCCACAGGGCACACCCAGGCTGCCATGGCAAAGGCCCTGCAAGCAGGGAGCCCTCCGACCCCGGGCTGCGAGCTCGGGCCCGTGACCCGGGCTGGCTCTCCCAGTCGCCACAGCGTCAGGGTCCCACTGCCAGCTCTAGGTGGGGAAGGACACGCTCTGCGGAATGGGCTTCACTGCTGGGAGCCCCCAGGGAAGTGCCCAGAACCCCTGCTGCTAGAAGATTCCGGGCTTCCTCCCTCCGCCCGCCCAGCAGCCCACCTGCTCACCTTGTACACCAGCCCTGCGATGAGCATGTACCGGCTCATGGTTGCGTTCTGGTACAGGAAGCAGGAGCCCTGCTGGCCACACTGGTCCTGCCACAGCAGGCACGCCTTGTCAATCACCCAGCCGAAGGCAATGGGCCCTGGGATGCCCCCTGTGGAGAGAGGCCCACTCAGAACCCCAACATGCCCAGGGTCTCAGAAAGGGGACCTCGGCCACTGGTGTTCTCAGGGGGGTGCCAAGGGGGCCTCAGTGTTCCTTCTCTGGGGACTCAGCTGCAGGCCAGGGCTTCCCTGTGACCCCCGACCCCCAGGGAGCTTTTGTGTTAGTGAGAAGGCACCCTCTGGGCAAAAGGTGACCTGGGTGCCTCTAGCGGAGCGCTAGGGAATGGCATTCTCCCCGGTGGGCACAGGCCTGGGTGAGGAGCCCCTGGCCAGGTGCCCTGTGCAGTGAGCATCATGTCCAGCTGTGTGTGCCCCCCCCCCCCCCCCCCACTGCACAGTAAGTACCTAGAGTCCTAACCACGATCCACTGGATTCCCAGCGCGAAGGACCTCTGCTGGTCGCCGACGCACCTGAACCAGAAAAGCAATGTCAAGGCCCAGGGCAGTGTGGCCGCCGCCAAGTCACACCCCCAAGCCCACAGCCAAGTCCTGGCCGAGCTCCAGGCCGCAAGGCCGCCTCCCCAGGTGGAAAGCACCTCACAGAGGCACAGCTCTTCCTTGCCCCCGCGAGGCCGAGTGACCCGGGCCGGCGCTGCGGAGCTCCTGGAGGCGCCGGAGGGAAGGCGGAGCAGCGAGAGAAGCCCAGCCTGCTTACCGTAGGGTTGCCGTCAGCGCGGGAATGCTGCTGAGGAATGTAAAGGTAATTACAACGAATATGAAAACCAGAAGGAGGGGCTTGCTCTGACAAGTTGAAGTGCATTTCCCTGCAGTAGCATGGCCAAAACCAGAGGAAAAATTCTGAAGGACACACCTACAGTCTCGGTACACCTGGGGAGCGCAACAACAGCGCGATTACAGGAGGAAGGGCCGGGGCCCTCCCAGCTCCAGGGCGCAGACGGACGGGCTGTGGGCAGGGGCTGCGCTCACCTTCTGGCCGCCAGGGCCAGGTGGCGCCACCTCCAGGCAGCCCGGCAGCCAGTGCCAGGTGGCCTCGCCCGTGAACCCCACCTGGAGCGCGGGGCCCCTACCTGCCATTGTGGTGGGCCGTCACGCCCGCCATGGGCACGTTGGGGCAGTGCGCGAAGAAGACCAGGATGGCCAGCAGGCTGGTCAGGGAGCAGGTCAGGCAGAACTTGATGATGCTCGAGCCACGGAGCTTCAACTTGTTCACAAAGAAGCCGCCCAGGAAGGTGCCGCCCCCACCCGCCGGCACCACCAGGTACCCTGTGAGAGGGGCAGGGCTCAGCCAGGGCTCGGGGCCCTGGGAGCCTGCCGCTCTTACTATCCCTACGTCACAGGTGGGGAACGAGGTGCAGAGCCCTCCCCGTCCGGATGGCAGCGCGGGGCTCGCAGTGGCCGGGGCCTGACCAGCGCTCTCTGCTGCTCCCTGCCACTGGGGAGGAGCAGAGGTCCATGGCGCTTGCCCACCCACGGCCTCTGCCCAGTCCACACGCGGGGGCCATTGGAAGCCTGTGGCCCTGGCATTCAATGTGAAGTTGAGATTAGGTGATGGGAGTGGGAGCTTCAAGGTGCAGTGGGCAACCTGAAAGCCCTCGGGGCTCAGGGGGCCCATCTCCCCAGCACTGACCAAAACCAGCTCTGGGGGCGGGAGAGGGGGTTCCAGAGGACATGGCTGTTCCAGGGGCGTCAGTGCAGGGAGAGGGGTCCTGTGGGGAAGGGAGGTGGTTGTGGGTGGGGGTCTGGATATGTGGAGCCGGCTGAGAGGTGGTGTTAGTCAGAGGAAGGGGGTGAGGTCCCCTAATCTGATGGCCCCCCCACATGTTGGGAATGGAAACCTGAGAGGTGCACGGTGGGAGTGATCTGGGTGCTGCTCAGCTGCTCCCCATCTTGCACTCGTGGCTGACCTTGTGCCCTATGACCTTCCACCCCCCCCACCCCCCAAGTGTCTTCTCAGCCAGGTGGAGGCTGCCCCATGGGTAGCAGGGGGAGAGGCTTCTGAGGAGGAGCCACACTCTTCTGGCCAGAGCTCCTGCGGCCGGGAGGGCCCTCTGAGGCCCCAGACACTGGGTGACTAGCTCAGGGGGCTGATGCACGCCAAGGTCCTGGGTGGTGAGTGGGAGGTGCCGGCAAGCTGGAGCCCACCCTGGGCCTCCCAGCTAGAGAGGGCCCCCACCTCCACGGGGCCCTCAGAGACCGGCCAGCACGCCGCGCACGCATGGTCAGTGCGCCCGAAGCCCTCGGGGAGGACGGTGCCAGCCTCGCCGACAGCCCAGATGCTCGGGCTCGGGCTCTCCCTGCCTGGGCGGGCCACACGGGAGCAGGGCTGTCGGGGCGTTCCCAGAAGGTACCCCGAAGACCCTTCGCTCATGTGAGAGCTGCTGAAGAGGCTGCGCACCCCGAGGTTCGGGACTTTTCTCACCAAACAAGGTGGCGGCTTCCGAGGTGCTGAGGCTGAATTGGGACTCGAGGAACTTGGGGCCGAATGTGGACATGCCAGCGATGAGGGTGGCCTCGGTGGCCCCAGCCAGGCAGAGCAGGATGAACACGGGGTTCTTCAGGAGGAGCCAGATGGAACTGGACAGGGCATGGGGGATGGAGACAAGAGAGGAGACAGAGGGTCAGAGTGGGCCAGAGCCAGGGTGAGGAAGCCCAGCTCCTGAGGCCATGGTCCTTCCCACCCGAGCTCACTGAGGCCCAGCCCAGTTCTGTGAGGAACAGAGCGGGTCGCCAATGAGCTGGGGGCACCCCACATCATTCCAGAGAAGCCAAGAGGATGTGTTTGGCTGGGCTGTGGCAGGGAGTGAACTTGCACCAGGATTCTGAGGTTGTGGCTTGTAAAGCTGCTGTCACTGATTACGAAAGATTCTTATCACCGCCTTGGCCAGAGTTCAGGCTTTGGTGTGAGGAGGGACCTTGAGTGACCCAGGTCACTGTTTAATCACCTCTGGAGGCAATGGTTGCCAAGTCGTGGACTGGACGGGCCCCTGGGAAAGGGACGGGGCACTGAGGGTGGGGCTCCGCCACCAGCAGCTGTGGGGAGGGGGCAGGAAGGCCCGTCGACAGAGGCCCCCCGGAGCCAGTGGGCTGGGACGGCTCCGCGGCTCAGCCTGGTGTATACTTGGCGGTGAAGACAGGGGCCCGAGGAAGGGTGTTGGTGCCATCGAGCCGTGCCGCTGATTCCCTGGTGGGCCCGCCTGGACCCATTTCTGAGGACGGAGAGAACTCGGAGCCCCGCACGGCCTGGGGGCCACTTGGCCGTGGGTCCGGCTGTGGGGTCAAGGGTTTCAGGAGTGTTGGATGTGGGCCGTGAGCCTGGAGGTGCTGGCGTCATGCCCAGAAGCTTCGCTGGGAGGTGTCTGTCCCGTGTCACAGTGTCAGGGCTCGGTGCCAGGCCTCGGTCTGCAGCGGCTCCGAGCGCCAGGCCCTGCACGAGGGGGTCCTGCAGGCCACTAGCGGTGCAGCACTGGTCACACCTGCACACTCAGACTGCTAAGGTGTCGTGAGAGCCTGGCCGGGGGCTCAGCTGGTTGGGCACTGCCCCCTGCACCAAAGAGCTGCCGGTTCGATTCCTGGTCAGGGCACATACCCGGTTGTGGGTTCGATCCCCAACTGACAAGTGTACCGAAGGCAACCGATTGATGTTTCTCTCTTTGTCTCTCTCTTCCTCTCTCTAAGCATGTCCTTGGGTGAGGATTAAAAAAAAAAATCAACGGCAGTAGTGAGGGAGGCAGAACTTGGGATGGAAACAGACATAAAACCCTGGGGGGTCTGGAAATAGAGGGGCTGGGCCTCGCGAGCAGCAGAGCTGCAGCTCACACGGCTTTTCTCTGCACCTGTTCCCCGCACCCTGTTCCCTCAGCCACGCGGCAGCGTCTGGGGCCAGCACAGAGGGGTCGGCCAGTGGTTTATGTCACTGTCCCCAGAAGTGGTGAGGGACACAGGCTGGGGTGGGGCAGCCTCACTCTCATACACTGACAGCAAAGCAGGTCTGTGACACGTGACTAACGCGTGGCTGACAAGTGGCTCTGGGTGCTGTCGAGGGGGTCAGGGCTGCTCCCGAAAGGGAGCTATGCCTGCCTGTGTGTCTCCTGCCCGAGGGCAGCCTTGGCCACCCTCAGGCCAGCATCTGTCAAAGCAACTTGGACCATCGTGACCCTGAAACGCTCTTCTCGGAGGACGCAGGATCTGAGCAGCAGGCCTGCAGGGGCCACAATTCCCGCGGCGCCCAGCCCACGGAGCAGGCGGGAGGGGCCGCCTAGTGAAGGACGCCCCCACTGCCTTTCCAGACATGAGCGACTTGCTCAGCTGAACTCAGGGCAGCCCTCAGCAGGCCTCGCTCCAAGGGGGAACCCAGTGCCTGCAAAGCTGGCTTCCTCACAGGGTACTGGGAAGGCCGCGGATAAAATGTCACCGGAGTGGGTGTGGCCGGCGGGGCTCTGGCGGCTCAGGGCAGCCGGACACCCTAGCATCTTCTCCGCCAGGCACAGGTCTCAGGTCCCGTCTGTGTGCTTTAGGAGGGACATCCAGGCGTGGCCAGTCCCTCCCTGCCTTGCCCAGAGCAGCCCACATGCTGGGGCCCTGGCTGGGCAGGAAGGCGGCTCTCTGGAGTGGCCAGCATACTCCTCGTTTGTTTGCCTGCAGGACGTGCGACTGAAATTCTTGGCTGGAATTTGCTCAGAGAACTAGTCATGATTTAACAGGCATGCGTACCGGCTTTCCTACCAGCAGCTGGTCTGGGAACTGAGCCTGGGCATGAACTTCCTGACGTCAGCCACATCCCGGGCCACTGGGGACAGGCCAGTGCCCACATGGCGCCAGCTGGGAGCGTGCCAGGAGACAACGCGCCCACCCCTGGACGGTGCGGACCTGGGCCAGCTCGCCTCTGGGGGGCACCCTCCTGAGTGGGCGGCTCTTTCGGGGGATCTGACAGGACGTGGGGAGGGGAGGACAAGCCCTAGGCAGGTGCAGCCCTTCGTGTCGGCCCTGAGCCCCTTTAGCCTCCGCCCTGAAGACAGGCACCAGGCTCACTCCCACTGCCAACAGCCCAAGCCGCCGTGGCCCTTAGACTGTCGTTAACGGGCCCAGGACACTGCAGGGTGGGGAGCGCTGGCGAGAGGGAGAGACCCCTGCGGAAGGCCCGATCCTGGGCAGAGGAGCCCTGGGCAGCCAGGAGCCCCCAGGCTCTGCGTCCTGTTGAGACCCCAGCAGCCCAGGCAGGGCTCTATTTGTGAGTGAGGATGGCAAAGCAAGACCGTGTCCCACAAGAGAGGGGAGACACGGACAAGACCTGCACACGGCTGGGCGGAGGGGCAGGTGCAGGGCAGCGAGGGCCGCCGAGGCCGGAAGGGCGGCGCTAGCCTGGAGCCCATGAGCTGCGTGCAGGCGACACCTAGTGAAGTGGTGGGAGGGTGCAACAGAGCGAGGGCCTGTGACCGGTTAGGGGCGACTCTTGGGGCATGGCCTGAGGTCAGTGGCGCCCCCTGGAGACCAGGGGTCATGAAGAGGGCTTAGGGGCTGTGCGCTCACCATGTGGCCCCGGAGGGCCACTCCAACACTCCTAGTTTGGGGCCAAGATTCCGTGTGTGTGAGCCCCCCAGAGGGTCTCCAGGACACACGGGCATGGGCGAGAGGCGCATGGCAGGTGACCCCCCAAGCTCCTTACAGAGGCAGGTCTCTGATGGTTTTCCCGAAGCCGGGGCTGCGCGCCGCCAGGGGGTCCCTGTCCTTCAGCTGGTGTGTCTCAGAGGCTCTCATGGCCACGTAGCGCTGGGAGCCTGGAGGGACACAGATGCCGGAGACTCAGGGCCTGCGGGGCGTGGACGGCTGTGGACGGAGGGGTGCGGACCCACCCTGGCACAGAGTGGGACAGAGCCGGCAGCCAACCTGGGGCCCCTGAAACAAGCTCTGCCGTGGCCCCGCCCTGCAGGATGGAGGACCGGCACACACATGTCTGGACTCTCCTGTGCTCTCAGCAGCTCACACACTGAGAGGGGCTGGCACACGGGGGCGGGGGGGGGAGCACCCACCTGGCAGCTGCCGCGGGTAGCCGAGGATGGGAACCGCAATGAAGAAGGCAGCGGCCCCGGTGCCCAGGAAGCCCACCCACCAGGCACCAACCCACAGCGGGCTCTCGGTGGTCAGCTCGGTCCTGTGGGAAAAGGCAGCGGGGTCAGCGTCCAGGGCACGTGAGCTGGGTGTCCCTTGACTTGCTGGTCCACGCAGGCCAGTGGGAGGGTGGAGAGTGAGGGACACGGCCCCACCTACCTCTTGCACAGAATGTGCACATTTGACACCCAATTTAGTCAACCTGAGGCCAGAGGTGGCGTTTGTACGAGGGCAGAGGCGCGCCATCTGCAGAGAGAGTCAGGGTAGCCAGCAGTGCCCCATGCAGCTCAGAAGGCCGGGAAACCACCGAGATGGCCGCCCCTGGAGCCGAGTGGCCACAAGACCCTTCCTTCCTTCCCCCGCCCTCTCATCTCTCTCTGTCGCTCTCTCTCTTTCTGGCTCAAATTTACAAAAAAAACCTAGTATCAAAGCAAAGAATGCAAGGAATAAAAGAAACACACTGTGACCTAACAGGCAGTGCAGATTTGGGCTTCCCCCGTCTTGGCACAGAGCTCCTTAGTTCTTTGTAATTTCCCACGAGGTCAGCAAGTGGCAACCTTTGGTCCATGCCAACTCCGGGGGGTAGCTGAGCACCAGCGGGCACTGAGTTAACCAACCACCCCTACGAAGGGAGGCCATAGAAGCCCTGACAGAAGCGGGTGAACCTGTGAAGCTGGCACCAGAGAGGGTCCGGAGCTCCGCCCCTCTCCACACCGCACACCCATCTGTTCCTCAGTAGTTCCCTCCAGGGAGTCACGGGGCTCCCCACAGTCTGCGAGCCGCTGGGGCACATCACTGAGCCGAGGGGTCCTGGGAACCTCCATGTTGACCCCAGGGCGAATGGAAGGGAACCTGGTGCCTTTCCTGGGGGTCATCTCATGGAACTGAGCCCTGACCCTACGGGGTCTGCGCCGACACTGGGGAGTCAGGGTCAGAATGCAGTTGGATTTGGGACACCCAGCTGGTGTCTGGGAAGCGCTTGGTGTGGAAAAGCCCACGGAAAAGAATCTCACGTGGCAGGCGAAGCCACTCTGTTCTGCAAAGGCACCGAGGCCTGGTCTCCTGCAGCTCGGGGCCGTCCTCCTCACCGTTCCCGCCCCAGGCCTGTCCTCAAAGCCACGCAGACCAGCAGGTCCTGGCCCACGCGGTGCTCCACCTCATGGCCTCCCTGGGACAAGTCCTCCTGCAGTTCCTGTGCCGCAGAAGAGAGCCCGTCACTCAGAGGATGGCCGCCGTGTAGAAGATGGCTGTGAGGAAAGCAGGGTCCTCAGGTGGCTGCCACGCCTGCTCCCCGCTGGCTCACTGGACGTGACATTCAGACACCAGGGCCCACCGGCGAGCAGCCCACCCCCACCTGCACTGCCTGTCTGCCCTCCACAGGGTGCACCCCTTTAAATCAGAGCCTCCACTGTGTCTGAGGTTTGGCTGGGGTCAATCTTTGAAGGGGCTTTTACACATTTCTCTCAGAGCCAACCGCAGGTGCCGCTGGGAGTCCTCCCCTCGCCTCAGCACCGAGGCCGTGTGCGGCCACCGGCCAAGTGCGCAGAGGGCCAGGCTCAGCAGACGCCTGTCACACTGCCGTCTCCCTGACGCCCCGCCGGCCTCACTCACCAATGTAGACGGGCGAGTAGCTGGACTTGACGTTCTCATCCAGGTAGGTGACCCCCAGCGTGTACAGGGGCGTGGCGCCCGCTCCGTGCAGGAACTGGCCCAGCATAAAGACCAGCCGGTACCCGGACAGGCTGGAGGCGCGGTCCCCAC